ATGGCTCAGATACAACAGACCATCACAGACTACACAAAGAAGCAAGATAAAGGGGTAGAAACAAGGGAGCATGATACAGATCCAGAACACATCCCTGAGGAAGAAGCAGCACTGGAAATTTCTGATAAGGAATTCAAAAGAATTATATTTAGGTATCATCAAAGAATTGAGAGATAGACCAAGGAAAACATAGACAAACCCTAGAATAATTTTGGAAGAAAACACAAGAACAAAATGACAAAATAAATGAAAAGTTAGAAATTATTCTGAATCTATAGATAGAAATCCAGAAGATTAATACTAAATTGTCAGAAACAGATAACACATTGAAAGGGCAAAGGAGAAGAATTGATGAAATGGACGATAGAATTCATGAGATTGAAGACAAATACCTGAATACATTTTTGGAAAGGGATCAATCAGAAAAATGATCAAAACAAAATGAAGAAAGCCTAAGGTTCATGTGGGATACCATCAAAAGGAATAACTATGTGTCACTGGAATATCAGGACAGGAAAAGAAAAAGAAAACCACTGATAAAATTATCCAAGATTTGTTGGAAGAGAACTTCCCTGATATGATGAAAGATGAGGATATATCCATTCAGGAAGTCCAATGAACCCCAAACAGGATAGACCCCAAAAGAAAATCACCAAGACATATCATCATCAGACTCATCAAAACCAAAGACAAAGAAAGAATCCTGAAAGCAGCATGGGAAAAACAAAAAGTTACTTACAAAAGACAACCAGTAAGAATAAGCTCTGATTTTTCAGCAGAAACCATTCAAGCGAGAAGACAATGGGATGGGATATATAAAACCCTGAAAGAGAAAAATTTTCAACCAAGAATTATATACCCGGCAAAATTGTCCCTCAAATATGATGGTAAAATTAGGAGATTTCCAGATAAGCAGAAACTAAGGTAATTTGTTAAAACTGGCACAACCTTACAAGAAATACTAAAGGGAGTCCTTTGAACAGAGAACCAAAAACAGCAAACAACAACCCTCCATTAATACACAAGATGGCATAACCCAGAAACCACAGTTATGGGCATATCCAAAATAAAATAAGCTTACAAGATTGTAAACAGAGAACCAGAGATATCAATTGGCAAGTGAGGACAACTACAAACAAAAAGAGAGAAAATACTGTGTAGTTACAGAACTTCTAAATGGTGAGGAAGTAAAGAGAGTTGCAGGATAGAATGGACTGTTCTAAACTTGGGGAGAACATTGTAAATCACAGGGTAACTTCAAAGAAAAGTGATAAACCTTCATCTCACAATAAAAAAGAGAACAAGCACAAATATTTAGCAAATACTAAAACAACAGCAACAAAGCAAATGATAACACAATTCATAAACATAATGAGCTCAGCACAGAAAATAATATGGAACAAAGAAACCAGGAACCCCATGAAAAAACCCATAACAAAAGGACAGCAACCAATTCATACTTGTAGATAATTACACTAAATATTAATGTATTAACTCAAGAGATGGAGAGTTGCAGATTGGATAAGAAAACAAAACCCATCAATATTCTATCTACAAGAGACACACTGTAGAGATAAAGACAAAAGTAGATTAAATATCAAAGACTGGAAAAAGATATATCAAGCAAATGGCAACCATAAAAGACCAGAAGTGGAAATATTAATTTCTGATCAAATTAATTTTAAGACAAAAACCACCATACGAGATAAGGAAGGACATTATATAATGATTAAAGGATCAATTGAACATGAAGATATAACCATAATAAATATCTGTGGACCATAGTGCCTTAGACACTATGCTACCGTGGGAGATTTTAATACACCACTTTCAATGAAAGATAGAAAAACTGGGGAAAAAAAAAAAAACCCACAAGAAAGATGCTGAAGAACTAAACAATACAATCTACCAACTTGACCTAATAGACATCTACAGAGCACTTCACCCAACAGCAGCACAATATACATTCTTTTCCAGTTCACATGGAACATTTTCCATGATGGACCATATGTTAGGCCGTAAAGCAAGCCTTAATAAATTTAAAAACATTGAAATACTGCAAAGCAGATTCTCAGATCATAATGCAATCACATTAGAAATCAACAATAGGAAGATAATGGAAAAAGAGTAAACACATGGAAACTGAACAACACCCACTTTAAGAAAGACTGGGTAGGAGAAGAAATCAAAATTGAAATTCAAAAATTCCTTGAATCAAATGAGAGTGAAAACACAACATACCAAAATATTTGGGACACAGCAAAGAAGTGATCATTGGCCAATTTATAGCAATAAATGCACACACAAAAAAGAAAGGGCCAAAAGGAACACTTTAAGTCAACATCTCCAACAATTAGAAAAAGAACAGCAACAAAAGGCTATAGTCACCAGAAAAAAGGAAATAATAAAGAGTCAAGCAGAAATCAATGAAACAGAAAATAGAAAGACAATAAAAAATAATTAACGAGACCAGAAGTTAGTTTTTTGAAAAGATTAATAAAATTGACAAACCACTGTCAAATTTGACAAAGGAGAGAGGGAGAGAATACAAATAACAAGAATAAGAAATGAAATGGATGACATCACAACAGAACCAACTGAAATAAAAAGTATAATATCAGGATACTATGAAGGGTTGTACTCCAACAAATTTGAAAATCTGGAAAAAATGGACAGATTTCTAGAAACACAGCACTTACCTAAACTAACACACACTGATGTGAGAAAGTTGAACAGATCCATAACAAAAGAAGAAATTGAACAGGTCATCAAAAAATTACCAACAAAAAAGTCCTGGCCCAGATGGTTTCACCAGAGAATTCTACAAGACATTCAGAGAACAGAAAAGGATGGAATCTTCCCTAACTCATTTTATGAAACAAGCATAACCTTGATACTAAAACAGGGCAAAGACATCACTCAAAAGTATAACTACAGACCAATATCCCTCATGAATATAGATGCAAAAATCTTCAACAAAATCCTCGCCAATAGACTCCAACAACATGT